CACCTCTATACCCTTTACCTAGATTCACAAATGGTAACATTTTGCCAAATTTGCTTAATATCTTGCTTTCTATATATGCATACAGAACTTTTTGGGGGGCAAACTATTCAAAAATAAGTTGTAGACATTTGTGATCTCTGATCCTCAAAGACCATATACCTCCTAAGAACTAGAACATTCTCCTACATTATCACAAGTATCACATTCAAGAATTTTAACATTATGCTGGGCCTGTTGGCTCAAGCCTGTAATATAAACCCAGCACTTTGGAGGCAGAGGCAGAGGATCGCTTGAGGCCAGGAGTTTGAGACCAGCCTGGGCAACATAGCGAGACCTCATCTTTATATATATAGTCCATATTAAAATTTCCCAAATTGTCCCAGGAATATCTTTTATAATTCTTTTTGTTTGGGATTCAGAATCTAAGAGTCACAACTTGCACATTTGCTTATCACATGTTTTTAGTCTCCTTTAATCTAGAATAGTTTCCCAGTCCTCCCATTTTTGAGACAATGACAGTGCAAACCAGCTGTGTTTTGCAGAATATCCCTCAATCTGGATTTGTCTGATTATTTCCTCATTACATTCAAGCTAACTTATGGCAGGTATAACATTATATGAAACATTATAGTCCACTGTTGCTACCAAGTATGACTTATTTTTGAGATTAGACACATACTTCAGAATACTTCTTTTAAACATTTAGAACTTCTTAGTGATATCAGAAGTAAAAGGAGTTAGTATCAAAAAAGGTGGAAATAACCTAATTTGGGTTTGGTTTGGATTCCATTTATTTGTTTCTTCTGGCCTATGTGCTAGATATTTAGGGGAAGCAGCTGGGGGATAGTCTAAAGAGCATTCGATTTTTTTTTTTTTTTTGAGACAAAGTCTCATTCTGTTGCCCAGGCTAGAGTGCTGTTGCTCCATGAATTAGTATTAAACGTGTTTGGAGACAGGATCTGTCTTAGGAGTTTTACAAGCTTTGCCCTGAAGGAGTAGGTGAATGTGCTGGTTTGCATTTCGAATGCTGTTACACTTGGAAGGGCGTCTCTGAAAGGCAGTAGCGGCTG